TCTTCCCAATGGGACATGCCCGGTAGAGTTCCAAAGGAAGTCCTTCCAGGGGGCATCCTTATCAGGTGCCTGAACATCAGCTGGCTCCTCTCGATCCGGAGGAGTAGCGGCTATACTCTGAGGCTCTCCTGAATAACAGAGCTCCTCACCTTGTCTCAGAGAGTAAGCCCAGCCACACTGTGGAGAAACCTCATTTACTTCACTTGTAACCATGATCTCGTCCTTTTGGTCATTACCCAAAGTTCATAGGTGAGGATGGGGACATTGATCAACCTATAAATCAAGGGCTTTGTCCGAGAACTCAGCTCCCAGTTCACCACCATGGATTAGTACAACACCCGTATAACTGCCGCCACTTTACCAATCCGCCAGTCGATCTCATGCTCCCGCTTACCATCATTCATGAACAAGACCCCTAGATACTAAGAGCAGCTGCTCCTCCCTCACCTGGAGAGAGCAGTCCACTTTCTTCTGGGAGAGGACTATGACTCTCCCAGAAGAAAGTGAAGGGTGAGGGTCAGGTGTGATGCCAGAATGGCAGCAGGAGGTATGGACCACAACAGACTGGCCCGCCACAATGGAAACTGGTTCTAGATCATATGTGATCAAGACAGACAGTGGAGAGTTCAACAGAAACTGTCCCCATCTACAGTTTTTTCCTCAGAAAGAACCATCAACAGAGCAAACTCTACAGATGGGAGATGCAGAACAAGACGACGATGACGACTCAAGGATTCCAGACGAGCCAGCCATTTGTTGCAACTAATGAAAAGCCAGATTAGCAAGTTGCTTTGCGTTCAGGTTGTATAATAATAAAAAAAAGCAGTACAGTTCAGAGACACTTAACAGACAGATACGTACTGAACTTCAAAGAGAGTGTGATAGTGTAAATATTGTAAATGGTAGGAATGTAGAATTTAAATGGAGACATGTAATGGAATGCTAAACTGTATTATACTGCTCAGCCGCTAGGTGACAGTGTCTGTAAAATACCTTACAGTAGACCCTCAGTTATGAACACCAGAGTAACAAACTGACCAATCAACCACACATCTCATTTGGAACCGGAAGTATGCAATCAGGCAGCAGCAGAGACTTAATTAAAAAAAAAAAAAAAAGGAAACAGTATAGTACTGTGTTAAATGTAAATTACCAAAAAATGAAGGGAAAGCACCATTTTTCTTCTGTATTAAGCTATATTAAGTCAATGTTCAGTTGTAAACTTTTGGAAGAACAACCATAACATTTTGTTCAGAGTTATGGACAACCTCCATTCCCAAGGGGTTCATAACTCTGAGGTTCTACTGTATTTAAATTAACCTCAGCCATACATGGCAGAGCATGGAAGGACCTTATGATGAACACATCTGGTGTGTATTAGCAAGTAGCCAATCCCTATCTGGTACAGAAGTACATGACACTTTGTCTTTCTAGTGTCTCACACTTACTAAAACCATGCCTTCTGTGCTGAAAGTCATCACACATTAGTTAACAAAATGAAATCAATCAGCATAGCTTAAGTTATTTACAAAACCCTGACTGCTGCTTCCTACAGCGCAAAGATTCTTTCTTATCTCTTGTCCATTGGCTCCATTGTGCATTAGCCATTGTCTATAATAGTGAACTATATGACATCTAAAGGGTTCTTAAATAGACTTAACAATGCTGATGAAATTATTCCAATAACAACCTATTTTATTCTGTATTTCAGCTTTTTAGGACAAAGGAAGTTGCCCATTTTTACCCTTTTCAAAGAAGAGTGGTAAGCTACAAACTTTAGTTTTTCAAGCTTTTTTAAGTAAACAAAAACAAATGGCTTCTGGGGTGCCAAGTTATGTTTACACCTCTGGGATTTAACTAGTGCTTCTGAAATGGTGCTAAACACAAATTGTCCTTGTATTTAAACAATGTTTAGGACCAGTTTGGCTGCAACTGTTATTGTCAGTAATGAGTATTTCTCCATGTGAGAGAAATATGCCTGCATGTAAGACATCCATGGCCAATACAAAATGATTACTGAGCCAGGTCAGTAGACGTTGGAGCAGGTAGAATTTCTCTCTCTGATGCAGGTCAAACAAACAGAAAAATGATTCCACAAAGAATTTCAAAACATTGAAGCTGGGTTTGGGGGGGGGGGGGGAGGAGAAGGGAATTCAAAATGGACCCATTTTCCAAGAAAAATGTCAATATTTTTAACTGAAATGATCACAAATTGTATTTATTTTGTTTTTGAAGTCATTATTGTAATTTTCCTTTTCTTGAAACCCAGGGTTTTAGTAAATGAAAAAATTCAAGTGACTTTGATCATAATGTGAGATTATTTCAAGAAAAAAATTGAAATTTTCAATCATCTCAACAATTTTTCTCATAAAGGTTAATTATTGAGAAAAGACCACTTTTAATTGTAAAAGATTTCATAAAAATATTCACCAGATCTAATAAGAATTAAGTCCCTCTACCTTAGAAATATTTGAATAGATTTAATTCAGTAAATTACCTGAGTAAAGCATGCCAGTGTAAACCCCACTTTTCACTAGAGCAGCAATGCACCAATGCAAGTACAGTAGCTACATCAATGTAGTCTGTGCTCCATGTGATTTAAATTGCATGGTGTTTCTTTCTGGGTTACGTTCTGGTGTTTCTTTTACTGTACCTGTTACAGTTTGTTATTCCAAGTGGATAACTGTAGATTTAGCAACCTCTAGCAACATCTCATGGGACAACTGTCCCAGGCAGTCTTCTGCTCCACTGTCCAGTCTGTACCGCTTCCCCAGTGGCTGGAGTGGGAACCCAGGCCCAACCTCTAATCCTGGTTCCAGCTCAGGGACCCTCAAATCAGCATCCAAGATCTGCAACATCCCACCTTGCTGTCATTTCCCGGAACCTTTTCCTATTCTGCCTCTCCCAGGCTTCTGCTCCATCATCCTTCCAGATAAACTCTCCCTTCAGGCCCAGATCCCTGAGGTTTCTACTTTTCTGGGGCACCCTCCCTCTCTAACATCCAGAGAATAGCAGCAAGCTCCCTCACTCTAGCCCTGTTCTGCTGCCAGCTTCCTAGCTTTATACTTACTAGCCCTGCCTGCTCCTTCTCAGCCGGGCTTCATCATCATTCGGGGTTTACTTACACCATCTAATTCCCCTCAGCTGTGGCCTATTCATTTAGTTGACCCCCTTCTCAGCCTCATTAACTCCTTTTAAGCTAGGATGGGATGAACACCTCATCACACTCAGTATTTAAGGATGAAGTGTCTGATGACACACATCTCAATCCCTCCAATATACATAAAGGTGTCAACTGTTCTAGGAATGAGTAAACAAAGCTTTTTTCCAACTTCCCCCCTACAGTTCCAGATGCTCATTGCATTCAAATGCATCATGTTAAAAGTGGAAGCAGCATATTTGTCAACACCGCCTCTGGAAACCACAAGAGGTGACATGTTGGTTTTCCCTACACAGTAGCATTGTATTTCCAAATTCTCTTACACAACCTCATGGTGGGAATATGGTAGCTAGAGATTTCCTTTGGAAACACCCCAATACCACATAAGGTGAGGATGTTTTTTACCAGGGAGATGGGACCAAGATATATCCACTCTGCAAGGTGTGTTGGAAGCAGGCTTTAACACCTGTCCCCATTTTGAATGTGATATTGTAAGGAAAATTAAGCTTTTCAGATTGGACACCTTGCATCAAGGCCTTGCAAAGGACCCTGTATCAGTTGCTAAATTAATTCTCTAACTTCATGACTAGATATGATTAGTGCAGGACAAGACAACATTTAGCACTTTCTGATATGGTAAGTCACAGTCCTTGAAAAGCAACAGAGAGTCCTGTGGCACCTTTAAGACTAACAGATGTATTGGAGCATAAGCTTTCGTGGGTGAATGCCCACTTTGTCGGAAGGAACCAGTGACCTGCAGCATTTGATAGTCCTAAGAAGTGTATCTAGGCTGCCTTGACCCAATAGCAAAGATTGCACGTGAACATAACCCTTCCTCACCTTGGCACTCACCCAATCTGGAAATCTTATTCTAAAGAGTCCCAAGGGCTTGACTGGGATCATCGATGACATAAAGGAGGGGAAGCGCTGGGAGATCTAACTGGAACTGAGGTAGTTACTCACTGGTAAGTGCACATGGACTTCACCACCATGTCTACAGGTACCTCCCCCTCCCTATCTCTTCAGCACCACAGGCACGTATTCACAAACACGTTCATACGCCGGCTCAGCCACAGACACACACACTCACATCCCTTCCTCCATTCTCAACCGTCCACTCACACGCAGATGGCTCAGATATATTTTCTGATGACGGCAATAACTAAGCGATGATTTCCCATTCCGGGATGCCACCGGAGGCCCCCAGTAACAGCAGTGTCCCCGCTACACACGTGTGTCATTAACTGCACTGAGTACTACGGCCAGGGGTCGGAAGCTCAGCTGGTGCCCGTGCCGTGTGTTCTGGACTTGGCTTGCAATCTGCACTGGCTGCATTGCAGCCCATGAAACTTTCCTGACGACTGTGGTCTGCTGGAATCGCTTTCGATCCAGCGGACCTGTGCCCCTCCTCCCCGCCTGCAGACGACGTGCCCTGGCAGATCGGTGCAGCGGGGAGGGGGACTGGGGCTAGGGGGGATCTCCTCTGGCACGTTCAGGTTAACCCAGCGGTAAAGTGGCCGCATTTGGCTGCCTAGCGGTGCCCGGAAGCCCGGAAAGGGGCCGTGCCGTGCGCGCTATGCAGCCCGCAGGAGGGGGTGTGCGCTGCTCAGCCACCCACTCACCCCGCCAGCCTGAGCTGTGGAGCGCGGCACACGGCTGGGCGGCCGCAGCGGTGCTCAGGGGAGCTGGGGAAGGGGCTGGCTCTGCCTCCTCTAGCTCATCTCTGCCCTGCGGAGCGGTCAGCTAGTGGCCTGAGCCGGCGCCGCGCTGCAGCCCTCGGCTCCTGCCGTGGACACCGGAGAGAGGAGGCTCCCCGGGGCCGGGGGAGGAGCAGCAGCCGTGGAGCCGTCGCCCCGCTCCCCGGCAGCCGGCGGCATGAACACCTGCGATGCCAAGGAGTACCTGGCCCGGAGGGAGATCCCGCAGCTCTTCGAGGTAAGGGCGGAGCCCAGTAACCGCCCCGCGGAGCAAGCCCGGGCAGGGGACAGATTCCGGGGGCCGCTTCCCCGGGGCGAACCCGCTTGACTCCGCCGGATCCATCCCGGGGCGCCGAGAGCCCGTCTGACCCCGGCCCCGCCAGCTCCCTTCCTGTGCCTTGGGCCGGACCCCAGCGCGGGAAGGGGAGACTGAGCCAGCCAAGTGTGGGGGCCGGAGAGAGGGGGCCAAGGGGGGTCCGGAGCGGGGCGGGGGCAGGAGGGGGGGGGGCCGGGGGGGGAGGGGGGGGGGGGGGGGGGGGGGGGGACAAGGTGCACCCGGAGTGGGAACAGGATGGGAAGGAGAGAGGGTGCTAAGGGGCCCCCGGAGTGGGGGGTGAATGAGGAGAGAGGGGGCCAAGGGGTGCCCGGAGTGGGGCAGGATGGGAAGGAGAGAGGGGGCTAAGGGGTGCCCGGAGTGGGGGCAGG